GTCACCAACTTCAAGGAGTTAGGGAGACTGATCTTCCTCATCTCAACACCTGCAAACTTGTCCTATTAAGTGGCTAACTCTTCCCCAATGCTATAATGCCTCCCATTTTCTCTCTCCGTCAACACTATCCCTCATTGCACTATGTAAATATGTACATTATTATATAAATGTAGGCTTACGATGATAAGTAATACCTCCAAGAAATGACCAAAATCTCCTACCTTGTTCCATTTCAGCATTTATGGTAATTATTTTTCCACATTAGATTTTACATTAGGTGTTCCTTTTGAAGTACTCATCTCTTGAGTGTATCATGAATTACCTACAATATCATTCATTCAAGAAATTAGTTGTGTGTGCCAGGCATTGTATTAATTTGCTAGGTACAAAGTATACAAAAAAGAATAAACAAGATCCCTGCTCTTGTTAGCTTACTAGTCAATACAAGAGACAAACATGGGAACAAATATTTAAGTAGCATGTTTATGAACAGGATGCTAAGAATATACTGGTCAAAGAATCACCTAATTCTGTCTGCTGAAATAAGAAAAAGCTTCTGAAAGTCCTAATATTTGAACCAGCTCTTGAAGGATGAATAGGCAGATGGGGAAGGGAGGATCCTGGAGTTAATCAGGCAGAGAGATGGACACTGTGGTGAAGGCAGCCCAAAAATAAAAAATTTTTTTAAAAAATGAGGCAGAAAAGGTAGGAGTTGGGAGTTCTTATTCTAAAAGGTTTTGTATGCCAGGCTAATGAATCTGAACTTTATCTTGCCTTTGGGAAAAGAAACCATTGAAGTCTTTTAGAGAATAAAGTGATTAAAAAGACTATATTCACAATTTAGAAAGAATACAAAGATGGAATGTAGATAAAGACGGTCAGAAGGTAAGAGAGATTAGTGAAGAGGTCACTGCAATAGAAGAAAGCCTAAACTAAGACAGTGACAGCAAGAAAAATAAGAGTTAAAACTATATGCATGTACAGCATAAAAAAAAAAAGAGGAAATCTATCTGGTGAAATCGGAAAAGCTTCACAGAGATGACATTTGCACTGGGCTCTAAAGAAAGAAAATTTGCCATGCAGAAAATGAGAGAAAATGATAGAACAGCACAATGAAAGAGAAAGACAAGAATGCTTGATGACCAGAGAGCTTGTTAAAGTAGCAATTCTCTGCCTTTCAGAGATCAGTCAGTTGGTAAATATTTACTGAAAGCCTAATATGTGTCTTGGACCTCAAAGAATCAAATGAAAATAAAATCACCTTTCCCAAAATAATGCACTTGGAAAATCACAGGCAAAATTTTAATCACAGGAATAACTGAGATCACACTTTTGTGCAAGGACTCCAGGTAAAGAACCACTAAATACCAGTAAGAGTAGGATTAGGGTGATGTGACTGGCTAGTTAAGAGCTAAAAAGCAGTGGGGCCAAGATTGTGAAGATTTTTTTATTTCAAACCTAAGAAACCTGGATAACTAAAACAATTCCAGAGGCATTGTTTGTAATAGAGATTGTCTTATTCAGTCCTCACAACAATACATTTACATACAGAACAATAAGTGGTACTATTATTCTACTTGCAAATGAATAAATTAAGATTTAAAGAAAACAGCATACCCAAGGTCACGCAGCTAGTTTAAATGGTAAAGCCAATATGGCCCATCTGACTCAGAGCCCCTGTACTCAATCACTAATCCAGGAAAAATCTGGAATATATGCACTACTTATTTTAACCATGAAAAATCTACAAAGTCACTCTTAGTTACTAGAACCTAAAAGTGTCTCAGATAAACATGATTTACTCATAAAATCACTTTGCCTGGTATTCTCAAAGCATAATCATTCACCCAGTAATTTCAAGTTTGTTAATGAAATGTATTTAAAAAGTCTTCAAAACTTTTGTTACAAATAGAGCTGCCAGTTGTAAAACTTTAGAAATCTCGGTTCCCAAAATATAGCAAAAACTTGAGAAGACATCATCAATTTTTCAGCAAAACAAAGAAAGACTGTTTTCTGAAGTTAATCTTATCCACACTGTCTGGCAGACAATGTTTTCAGAAAAGGAACTGAAGGAAAGGAAAGGAAAAAGGAAAAAAAAAAAAAAAAAAAAGCCCCTACATCCCGCAGTCACTGAATACAAATTTTCACTAAGTATCATTTTCTTAGTAACTATTACTTCTGGAGTTTCATTTTATCATCTTCAAAACTCATGAAAATTGAAAACATGCCCAGAATGAAACAAGCTTCTCTGTTCACTCATATGTTAGTTTATTTCTTGATTTGGTGCAATTCCAAAGATAGAGCCATTTCTTTTAAGTGCTGCAAGAGATGGAGAGAATACGGTCCCAGTATGTTGCAGAAGGGATCTACTTGGTACAATCTAAGTTTGTAGGACATTTCTAACTAAACACCTGATGAAAATACATTTGTGATAGTTAAGCATTCTATGAGTACAGGTCAGGGATTTATGATAATGCAATAAATGCTTACTACCTTTCTTTACATATTATGTGCTTCTCTCCGACGGCACAGAAATCCTCTTAACTAGGTTCCTACCTTCAGCACTTAGTCACACAGTATTCCTTAAGTGGATGAATAAATCTCATTCTGCCTTTCAAATGTGAACCCAAGAGCTATTCAAATTGATGGTGAAAATTTTCCTGATTCGCCATAAACTTTTAAATTTTTTTTCTGTATCTGGCGATCAAGAACATAGTTGATTTTATCCGGGCTACTGGAAAAAATGTGACAAAAATATTATGAAAAACGTTGTGAAGAGCTGTTCATAAATTTTCTACTCTACTGTTTGTATAAACCATTATAAGGAGAAAAAGGTCAGAAAACAAGACATAATTTCACAGTCATGGTATGCCCAAGGTTATTAGCTAAGAAGTGGTAGTCACAATTAAGACCCAACTAACTCCCAATCAAATGTGCTTTCCATTCCAACATACAGAAACACCTGTTTTTATTTATTATTCCAAAAAACATTTTTGGAAGAATTTCAGGAAAAACAAAACAAAACAAAAAAAACTTCATAGAAAAGACAAATTACAAAAGTACTTTCTTTCAAAAATTCTTCTGGGCCCTCACATCTCTAGGTATCACCAATACTCAAGACATTAGAACATTCCGTTAAAAGGAAACTGGAACTGCACACACTACACATAAAGCGGAATACATACACAGGTACCTCAAAAAGTTCGTGGAAAAATGGAATTAAGAGATAGTAAGAATCTTTCCATGAACTTTTTGAACACCCCTCGTATACATGGCATCCTCTGACAAGCTTCAATCCGACAGGCTACATTCATTCTTATCTTTCCAGGGAGACAACTTACCCAAAACCCACGGTTGTTTTCCTGCCCTCCACCTTGTCCATTAACTCCCCCTTTTCTCATAGCATTCTGTGTCCCTTCTCATCTCTACTTTTGGCATTGGAATACTCTTCCCTCCCAGACCTTCAAACGACTCATTTTCATCCTTTCAGCCATAGGGCCTACCCTATCTAAAACGGCCTCTTCCAGTTACTTCTTTCTGAGCACATATTACAATCTACAATTAACCTTTCATTTTTTACTCCTTAACTGTCTTTCCCACTAGGATGTACCATAAAGGCTCTCTCCTCACCACTGTCTCTACAACACCACCTTTTCCATCATTACCAAAACTGCACTGGAAATCCTGTCACTTCTACCACCTCCCATCAACATGTTTCCTTAGCACTGGCACCATTATGAGTGTACTAAATAACAACGATCATTACTAGCAAGGAAGCAGAGAAAAATTACACTTTAACATGTAATAGTGCAGGGAAATGCTGCAGATCGTACCACAAAAACTGGAGTGATACAATGTACAGAAAATATCAGCAAGGACAGAATTCCACTCAAAGAAATGAGGTGCTCTGTCTCAGGAGAGAAGAAGAAAAGCAATCAAGCAAGTCAATTCTTGATTCTGCTTCGGATCAACAGAGCAAATTGCTTCCCAAAATTATAACTCTGGAACATCGCGATTTACTCAGCACACTCGACTACTCACTAAGTGTCCAAGTGCCAACATACTACGATTATTTTGCATTCTCTAAGGTACACCACGTGAGGAGCACAGGGTGGTTCCGAAACTTGATAGAACAAACGTAAGAAATAGAAATAATAATGGCAAATATTTACATTTGTAAAAGACTTGAAAACACTGAGAAAAATCTCGGAGTTACCATGGAAACTAAACACATCCATAAATAAACATGTGTTAGGTTAGGACCACTATGGTACAGAAAGGATGATACGACTGCCAGAAGAGAACACATTGTACATCTCTCTCCCTATTCTCTTCTACTCAAAGACCCTAATCGCTACTACAAAGCTCACCAGCCTCATTCCTGGTAGCGCAATCTCCAAAGTAATATAGAAAAGGCAAAAGAACGGCTTAAACGTCAAAAAAAAAAAAAAAAAAAAGGCAAAAAAAAAACAATTGGCTCCGCGATCGCTAATCAGAAAGCCTTGGATGCCTTTCAAAGCCAACTGTCATACCTTTTAGGGGCCCAGAAGACTTTGACTCCAAACATAAATCTCAGAACCCAACACATCTCTCCGGCTTATTCAGAAAAACCCAAGATTTCCAGTTAGGATATCTGCCCTCTACTCAAAAAAGGACCTCCCGGCAGGAACGAGCAATCAGTCCCTCAGGGAGCAGTGGCGCTTCAACCACCCGGGCCGGGACACAGGCAACGGCGACAGGGCACGACCCTTCCAGGGAGCCGCCGGCGCCCTTCAGCCTCTCTGTCTAGCTCAGTGCAACCCGCCCCGGCGGTGGCTAAAGTCGGGCAGTGGCGGAGGGGGGCCAGCGGTGGAGCTTCCGAGCTGGGCCTTCCCAGCCCGGGGGCGCGGCGAGACAGAGGTGGCGCCTTTCAGTCCGGCCCCGGCTGCTGCAACAGATCTGGGGCCTCTTCCCCTGGCCTCCCCGCCCCGCAGCCCTCAGCCAGCCAGCAAGCCCCTCACCTGGCAGAAGCTCCGGCAATAGTTCAAAGATGAGACCTCAGACACCTCCTGCTCCCTCAGCTCTGTCTCCAGCTGCCACAGACAAGGTCGCAGTCCCAGGGCTCCCGGCACCGGAGATGCGGGGCGATGACCCCGAGCCATGGAATCAGTCTCGGCTCGGTCTCCGGCTCCGGCCACCGCCGGAGCCTCAGCCCCGGCCCCGGCAGCGGCGGCGGCGTCTCCCTTTCCGTCCGCCATCTTCCCACGGCCCAGCAGCGCGTAGGCAACCAAGCCACGTGACTGAGCCTTGGCCCCGCCCCCAGGCGCCCGCGCGTGATGACGCACTTTCTGGCGACGCCGGCGCCCGCCTGATTTCATCATTAGGACTCCGAGTGCCACTCCTCTTGACGGCCTCCGCAACGGCCGCCCTAGCAACAGCCGCCCTAGCAACAGCCTAGTAACAACTGTCCAGAGGCTCTTACTCACCTGTTTTTCGAGACCCTCTAGAGTCATGGCGTCCCGGAGCCGGAAATGCCTATAGATAATCTAGACATGGGGATGACATTTGAGCTGCGATCTGAAGAACGAGAGGAAGGTTATCCCTGAGAGGAGCCTAGAGAAAAGCATTCCCGGTGGAAGGAAAATAAGAAGCAAAGCCGTAAGGCCGAAATGAAGACTAACTACAAGGGAACTTGGTTTATGACAGAGATGGCATTACCAGTCAGTGGGGGAAAAGATTAACTCTTCAATAAATGACGTTGAGACCTTTTTTCCAAAAGGGAAAAAAATAAAATTAGATTTCTACTTCAAACCATATCCGAAAATAAAGCCCAGATGGATTAAAGACCTCCAGACATTTTTCGGAAAATATAAAATGGCTTTATGATATCAAAGTAGGGAAGAATTTCTTAAATAAGACCCAGAAAGCACAAACCATAGGGAAAAATATTGTTAGATATGACTTTATTAAAATATGTTACTTCTGTAATAGCAGATGTTAAAAAAGATGGCACACAAAGACAAGCCAAAGACTAAATGATATTCACCACACATATAACCATTGTTTGGATTAGTATCAGAAACAGTTCCCAAAATCAAAAGGAGAAAAGCAAACAGTCCAATAGAAAATTAGATAAAGGATATAAAGAGGCAGTTCATAAATAAATAAATAAATAACTGAATGGCCAATAAACCCAGGTAAGGATACTTAACTATTACAAAGTACAGGTAAAACAGCAATGAGATATAATTTTATATCCATCAGATTGGCAGAAATTTTAAATTAGTATGATGTATTAGGATTTAGGAAAATGGAACTTACATACTGCTGGTGGAAATATAAATTGGTATATCACTTAGGAGAAGAATTTGTAATACTTAAAATTGGAAAGGCACATGTCCTGTGTCTCAGTAATTCCTAATAATAAGAGTAATAATAGTTGTAGTCAATATTCACTGGGATTTAATATGTGCCAAGCACTTTTCTAAGTCCTTAACATATATTAACTCATTTAATTCTACTAACAATATCATACAAAGTTACTATTATTACCTTCATTTTACAATTTAGGAAATTAGGGCACAGAGAAGCTAAGTCACTTGCCCAAAGTGACACGACTAATAAGTGATGGTGCCTGGAATTCAATCCCAGGTAGTCTGCCTCCAGAATCTGACCTCTTAACTATTATGTTGTTCATATTCATTGCAGCACTATTTTTAGTTAAAAACAATTAGAAATAATCTAAATGTTCAACAGTAAGAGATGGATAAACAAATTATGGTATATTCACACACTGCAATATTATATAGCCAGTAAGAGAAGGAATTAAAACTTCATATGTCAACATAATAGGCATAAAGCATAATAAAAAGCAAGTTGCAAGGTATATGGGATGTATTATTCCATAGTATAAACTTTTAAAACTTAGAAAACAAATGCTCAAGTAATAAAATTATTAAAACAAGGGACAGCATAGGAATGACATATATCACCTTTAGAAGAGGTTCCCTTGGGGAAAGAGTAATGGAGGGAGGTGTAAGGAGCATTTGCTGTATCTGTAATGTTTTATTTATTTTTTAATCTGAAGCAAACATTCATTCAATCAATTATACCAGATGCTTTAAGCATCTATTATGTGCTGAGAACTTTCCCAGAAAATAGAAATTTAGCGGAGAATGTGTAGTTTACATTTTAATGGTCAAATGTAGCTAAGTATTAATGTACTAGATATGGGTGGTAGGCACATGGTTGTTGGTAATAATATTCTATATTCTTTTTTGTTTCTTTTCAATACAAATAATTAGATTTAAAACAGAATGTCTGGAGTATGGTGTAGGAGAGGGAAAGAGGTGGGCATGTGATTGGAGAAGATGAAAAGGTCATATCATATAGAATAGCTCAAGGTAATAGCTCAAGGTAAGCAGTGCGATTTAAAGTGTACCAGGTAACCACTAGAAAACTATAAGTGAAGGTGTAATATCACCTGATTTACACTCTTGTTGTTGACCATGGTTTGAATGTTCCCCCAAGCTCATGTTGGAACTTAACCCCCAATAGGGTGGTGGAAGGTGAGTCCTTTAAGAGGTCATTGGCTCGTGAGGACTGTACTCTAATGAATGGATTGATCCATTAATGGAGTTAATGGGTTGTCATGGGAATGGTTCTGATGGCTTTATAAGGAGAGTGAGTGAGAAGGTAAGATCTCTAGCTCTTGCCATTCTTGCCATTTGATATCCTGCATTGCTGTGAGACCCTGTAGAGAGTCCCTGCCCAGAAGAGGGCCCTTACCAGATAAGCCCCTGAACCACAGTCTTCCCAGCCTCCAAAACTGTAAGAAATGAATTTCATTTCTTTATAAATTACCCAGTTTCAGGTATTCTGTTATAAATAACAGAAATGAACTAAGATACTGCTATATGCAGAATAGGTAGTAGGAGGCCAGAATGAAAGCAGGGAAGCTATTGCAGTAGTCTAGATGACTAAAGTGAAGAGGTTAAAAATGTATTTTGGAAGTAGAACCAACAGGGTGATGTGTTGTTTCTGAGGAGTGAGAAAAATGGAAAAATTTGGAATGGCTTTTGGTTTGAATGGTCGGCATTGATACTTATGGAGAAAATGAAGACTTAGGAAAGAAAGATTGGGGAGAGAGTAGGGGAGAACCAAGAGTTCTGTTTGGGACAGGTTAAGTTTGATTTTCCTTTGAGATGTCCAAATGGAAATGCCAGGTAGGCACTTGGATATATGATTTTGGAGCTTCAGACAGGGCAGGACTGAAGCTGTAGAGCCATCAGTTGTTACATTCCCATTATTATACCAAAAAAAGAAAAAGAAAAAAAAAACTCCCTTGACTCCATCACATTCTCCTCTAGCTTCCATCCCACTTCTTTGCTTCCTTTTATTAAAGAAACAAACAAAAATACAAATGTATCTACAGAGCACCATATCATCTGTTTCCACATACTTTCCTCTCACTCTCTCTTGAACCCTTTTCAATCAGGCTCTCATCTCTACCACTCACTGAAACTGCTCATTTTATCGTCACCAATGACTTCCACTTTTGCTGTGTCCCATGGTAAGTTCTCAGTCATTGTTTACTCAGTCTCTTAGCAGTATTTGCACTGTTGATCATTCCCCAGAATTTAATTCCACTTGGTTTCCAAGTCTCCACACTCTCCTGGGGTTTTCTTCTTGATTTCTTTTCTTATTCTCCTTTCTCTTTCTCATTTCTAAATGCCCTCTAAAGTGTGGGACCTAGAGCAGGGCCTCTCTTGCCTGGAATAAGAGTGGTATTAATGGTCATAAGTATATAAATGGTATATAAATCATATTAGGACTGAGTGAGTGTAGCAGTGGGTGTAGATAGAAAAGAGGTTGAAGGGTAGTACCAATCCAAGAGTGTGGAATGTCTTCCCATCTTTTGTGTCTTCTTTAATTTCTTTCAGCAGTGATCTCTAGTTCTCATTGTAGAGGTTTTTCACCTCCTAGGTTAAATTTATTCCTGTTTTTTGTTTGTTTGTTTGTTTGTTTGGTGACTATTGTAAATAGGCTTGCTTTCTTGATTCTTTTTCTATCGGTTCGTTATTGGAGTGTAAAAATGCTACTGATTTTGTATCCTGCAACTCTACTGAAATCATTTATCAACTCTAAGAGTTTTTTGATGGTCTTTAGGGTTTTCTATGAATAGGATCATGTCGTCTGCAAAGAAGGACAGTTTTCCCTTAATAACAGGAACAAGACAAGGATGCCCACTCTCACCAATCCTATTTAACATAGTATTAGAAATACTATCCAGAGCAATCAGGCAAGAGGAAGAAATAAAGGGCATCAATTTATGGACTTGGATATGTTGAACCATTCTTGCATCCCTGGGCAAAGGAGCTGAATAAGCAGTTTTCAAAGGAAGATGTAAAAATGGCCAGCAGATCCATGAAAAATGCTCAACATCACTGAGCATCAGCGAAACACAAATTAAAACCACATTGAGATAGCATCTCACCCCAGTTAGACTGACCATTATCAAAAAGACAGAGAATAACAAATAACAAATGCTGGCGAGGATGTAGAGAAAGGGGAATCCTCCTACACTGTTGGTGGGACTGTAAATTAATGCAGCTATTATGGAAAACAGTATGGAGTTTCCTCCAGCAATCCCACTGTTCAGTGTATTCCCAGAGGAATAGAAATCATCATGTCAAAGGGATACCTGCACTCCCAATGTTTATTGCACCTCTATTTACAATAGCTAAGAGTTGCAACCAACCTAAATGTACATCAATAGATGACTGGATAAAGAAAATGTGACATATATACACAATGGAATGCTTCTATGCCATAAAAGGAATGAAATACTGCCATACACGGCAACATGGATGAACTTAAAGAAAATTAAGTTAAGTGAAATAAGCCAGGCACAGAAAAACACCACATATCATCACTCAGATGTGGGAGCTGAAAAAAAAATAAACAAAAAAATAAAGAAAGATACAACAATCATAATAATTCATTGAACTTTCAAAAGGAGAGAATGGATCTGAGGCCACCAGAGGTGGGAAGCTGGGGCAGTTAGCGAGAAATTGGTAAAGGGCCACAAAAAATGATTATACTGTGTAATGATAAATATAGTAATAACAATTTTTAAATAAAATAAAATTTAAAAAATAATTTGGGAGTAAGAATAGATGCCAATTCTAGAACACATTACACGTTTTTTATGAGCAATGAAGCAGATGTTGGATGTACATGATGTATGAAAGCAAGTTGCAAATAAATGTATAAACTATAACAGAATTTTTGTATAAATAAATATTTAAAAAGCTTTGAATGTATATTTGTTTGTATATGTAGATGAGCAAGAGAAAGATGTAAAGGGCTACATATACACCTATTTATTTGGTTACTTCAGAATAGCTAAGAAAGGCAAGATAGAGACAGTGGGGAAAAAAGTACATAGGCACCCCATAGTTCAAGATGCAGCACTCAGCACGAAATACAACCATAGATATTTGCTTTCATA